CCCTCTCACACACACACCCTCTCCCCCCACCCTCTCTCTCTTCGCTTCTTATTCTTCCTTCCTCCCTCTATTCTCTCTGTCTGTAGTTTAATTTCATATACTTTTTTCCGGGACGGTGTAGTGGTTACAGTGTCTCTCGTGAACAAGAACGCACGCTGTGACCTCAAGAGCCCGGCGTCCCCTACCCCCCTCTCGCCGCAACAGGGACCTGGTCCGTGTATGTCGTGAATAAATGGCAGGGTAATGGAGTCTCGATGCACTTTGTTCCAGACTGACTCTCTCTATAAATATCTGTCTGTCTGTCTACCTGTCTGTCTGTCTCTGTCTGTTTAATCTGTCTGTTTGCCTGTCTGTCTGTCTCTGTCTGCTTGTCTGTCTCTGTCTGCTTGTCTGTCTCTTTCTCTTTCTCTCTCTCGCTCTCTCGCTCTTTCTTTCTCTCTCTCTTTTTCTCTCTCTCTTTCTCTTTCTCTCTCTTTCTTTCTTTCTTTCTTTCTCTCTCTCTTTTTCTCTTTCTCTCTCTTTCTTTCTCTTTCCCTTTCCCTTTCTCTCTCTCTCTCTTTTTCTCTCTCTCTTTCTTTCTTTCTCTCTCTCTCTCTCATATTTCATTCAATTCGGGGCATGAAGTGAATAGTCAACAAAGGTCCCGACGCATCCAGTCTTGAAAGATGCAGTAAGGTCCTCTTTAGACTGATGAAGTTTTGTGACGTCATAAAGGTGACAGCACTCTCGCTTAATTTGGTTAATGGCGAGTTTTGGGACAGAATATTGGAATAGGGTTCGAAATTACGGTATTTTGATAACTTCTGCTAAGGAGCTTGTGCTTTTGGTTGCGTTGATTAATGTGTTTGTTGGTTGGTTGGTTGGTTAGCACGATAACTCAAAAAGTTATGAAGAGATTTTTATGATTTTTTTTTTCTTTTTTACCAGATGTGTGTGTCTTGGGGCGTTTTAAGCAGCGAAATTTCTTACCTAAGAATTCAAGAACTTTTCTTGTTTTCTCAACCGACCTCCGTAGATAACTTTCGCTTGCTAAGTCAAGTGGTGTACCGTCACCA